AATTATATGTCACCACCATTATGACTGTACATGTACGTCTGATGATATTCTAGTTTCTTTAACGACACGGGTAATTAATTACTGTGGAAACTCTAAAATTTCGACCATTTTTTAATAAATTTTTTTGAAAAAAACAGGCAGGGTTTTAGAATACAAAATAACAATAATCGGAAAAAATTAAAAAAAAATTAAATAGCAGGGTTCTTCCCAGGGCATTATAGAGTAGAGGATCCCATCTGTTAAATTTTGAATAAACAATAAAGATCATTCAGCATAACAATAATAGATGTTTTTAACATATTATAATGTTATGCAAATTATCCGATACTCTATGCTATTTTTCTGAGGAGAACACTGAATTGAGTTATACTGTGGAATACTTTATTTTCGCTGGAATTAATTTTCACTGAAAAGGCTTTTTGGGTGTTTTTTCATGGAATTTATTTTCACTGATTTTTGAGGAGTTTAATGTGAAATATAGGAAAAAAAGTAAATTCGCTGGATTTTATTTTCACGGAATCATCCCTGTGCTTCAGCAAAAATAAATTCCAAGCGAAAATAAAGTATTCTACAGTACATAGTTTTGTGATATTATATTGCATCAAATAACTTGGTATACATGTTTCTATTTTTCTAAAAATTCTCTAGAAATTATCATAAAAATAAACAATTTAGAATTCCTTAAAAATTTTAATTCAAAAGTTTTGGTAAACTGAATGGGAAATCAACAGGCTTCATGTTTTTCAACTGATACTTTGTGATCTGTGCAAAGCATATTTGCTCTTCTCATATGACCCCTTCCCATTGCCTAAAATATGAAGTCATTTCAAAATGGTCAAAATGAAAAATAAATGTTTAGTTGAATAATAATTTAGAAGATTATACGGGAAATCAAATCCAAACAATATAAAATATTTCATTCATGGTTTTAAAATATTTTCACAAGTTTCCATTTGATAGTTTTTAACTATACATATAAAAAAATAATAATAAAATAATTACATCATGCGAAAAAGGTAACCATACTTTTATCAAATCATACGTCAAATGTCACACAAATATTTTATTTTGTTGTCAATTCCATGTAGAATTTGCCATTAACAGTAACAAGTCTGGAATGAAAATGCAATGACGGCGAGCAGATGTGAAATACAACAATAGACGACAAAAACTGTAACAGTTCGGCACATGCTGCTACATGAAACAGAAGCTATTGTGTAGTGAAAAACCACAAATGCGTTTTTATTATCATATCGATGTCACATTTTGACGCACAGGAATGTCTAAGCTATCCATTGTATTGCTACTTAGTAGATACGCTACAAACAAACTAATACAGCTAAATGGTCAACATCAACGTCAT